CCTTGGATGCTGGACATGGAACTATGGGATTGTCTGCCCTGATGGACTTTGGACTTGCTTTGTTCCCATTCCTTCCTATCTTCCTCTTTGTACTTTTTTGAATGGAAATGTCTATCTTGTGCTATTGTATGTTGGAAGTGTTTAATTTTCATTTGTACCAGGGCTCGAGGCTAAGAGTTGTGCATTAAATCTGAGAGAAGACTTGGGACTTGGACTTTTCAGCAATGCTGAAACTGTTAGGACTTTGGCAACTCTTGAAAATGGACGAAATGCATTTTGCATGAAAGAATAGGCATGAGTCTTCGGGGAGGCAGGGGCAGAATGTGATGGCTTGTGTCTAGATGTTCCCCTAAAGCCTCATGCAGTCATAAGTGAGGCTTTTTCAGAGGTGGCTGGATCTGGGGTGAATGCTGCTGGGATTAAGGGTTTGTAATTACTAAATTAGCCCACTGATAGGTTTGGCACCCACCCTAAGCCAGGTAGCTTAGATAGAATATAAAAGGGGCAGGAAGAAGCTGCTCTTGTCCGCTTGATGGTTCTCTATTTTGCTTGCTTGTTTTTGCTGTCTTCTGCCTGTCATGGACTATTTCTCCTCTGCCTTGCCAACCTGCCTTGGAGCCACTGACTGGACTGAAACTTCTACAAATTGTGAGCCAAATAAATCTTTTCTTCTTTAACTTCAGGTGTTGAGTATTTTGTCTCAGCGAGAAAAGTAACTTTAAAAAGGCAGGGAGTTTACAGTGTACATGCTGAAATGTCACATACTATCCTTCCTATTTTCCTGACACTGATCAGGTTTTGGCTTCTGGGCTGGAGATGTAGCTCAGTGGCATCCACCACGTGGTTGATGATGTATGCTTGGCATTCCTGAGGCCCCAGGAACCCCCAGCACCTAAATGTGCATTCTTCCCATTCTTCCTTCCTAGGTGTGGGGACACAACTGAGTTTCCTTTCCAGTGCCATCTCCAAGGACAAGTGATGGCTGCGTGAGAGACAGAGGACTCTGATTCCTACATGGGCAGTGTTCTACGGCCAGTGACCCTTAGCACATAGGCCCTTAGCACAATCAACCCATGTATGAAAGTACAGTATACTAAAGGTCTTGACTCTGAGCCACAAAAAGTGTCAGGCACACACCTGGGAGGCTGGGGCAGGAGTATCACAAAAGCCCAAGAAACTTACCAGCTTAGTAAGACCCTGTCTCAAAGAAAAAAAACAAAACAGGGGCTGAGGATATAGCTCAGTGTAAGGGTCTCTGTTCAATTCCCAGTACTTAGAAACATTCGAGTTGCAAACTTTCACAGGTGTATTGTGTTAAGACTCACTGTCAGCTTACAAATGAATCCAACTTAGCAACAGTTCTGCAACAGAACTCGTTCGTAAGTCGGGGACTTAGAAGAAAACCAGAAAGATAATTTTGCCAATTCCCTTTCCAAATCCAAAGTTTATCTTAACTGTGATTATCAGATGTAAACATAAAGTAGTTCTGTTTCGTTTTAATGAAGTAACATGTTCTAGCTCACATTACTTTGGTCAAAACGATCGGCACCAGAGCTCCTCCACGGAAACTTGAGCAGTTTTAAAGAAACACCAGGAATACAGTCACTATGCCACTTGATGATTCATGGTCCAACACCAGTGCTAGTTTTTCTTTTGTTTTACTAACACTTAATGTATCCTACAATGAAAAGTACTATTTTTAAAAAACTGCAACAAAACAGAAACAAAGTGTTACAAGAATCTGAATAAATGCAACAGCCGAAGGCAGTCAGTGGCTGTTAAAATGTTTAAGGTTTTAATTTTAGAAAAAGCTTTAATAGCAATAAAAATTCACTTATTTGAACATACTATAGTTTATACTTAATGAACTTAAGAGTGACATCCAGTCTTTAATAGTATTAAAATAATTTAAATGATTTTTTTTTGTGGTACCGGGCAGTGAGCCAAATTCTCCACCCTAATTTAAATAATTTAACTCATCATAACACTTCTAGGCAATGGGAAATGAAACCCTTCAGATTAAAACTTTCATCTTTACCTAACAGTCCAAGTCTGTCAAAGTGTGACTTCACAAAGTCAAGGATTCTTTCAACAGCTTGCATTAATATCTAAATTAATATTCAGAATAGCCTAAGGGAAATTACATGTATAATAAAATTTACTTCGTCAAAGCAACTGCTTAAAGCTGCACATGGATAGGAAAAATTGGGTTCAGTGAGCCCAGAGGACACAGTGCCAGGTGTAGTCAAGCCCTTTCTGGCAGTGAGCCCTCTTCAGTCCCTGACACAGTAGATACCCAGACTCTGTGATAGAGGACGGTCAGGCAAAGAGGGAAAGTACACATTAGTAGCTATCCCAGCCACTTACTGTCCAGTCCACAAAGCTTGCCACCAAATCTTAGTAGGTGCTTGTAAGTATGAGATGATTTTTGTTTGGATGTCATATTTGGATAAATGTGTATTTCTTTTGGTAAATAATCCACCTAGCTTTAGATCAGAAGCAGGAAGTCCTCAAGGAAGCCTCTGTGTTTGGAGCAGCCACAGCGGTGTGTCCTCTAACACTCTGCCTGCCCTTTTCTGTAATCTAGACCAGCAGCTCCAGTGCTAGCTGCTGCTAAGTGTACATCCTCTTCTCAGCTGCCTACGTGCCAAGCCCACTTCATCCACTCTCACGCAGCAGCCAGAATGACCCAAGGAGGTTTAGTTTAACCCAGTGTTTTACTTTGGATTACTTAGCAATCTTCAGTCAGAAATCTGAAGTAAAACTCCACCATTAGCATCACTGTAGATAGTCCTGAATGTAAAGCGCTCTTGAGCTTGTAGGGTGGGAGATGTTTGTGTGAGCTAATAATTTATAGTCACTCATGTTACTTTACAGAAATGTGGGGCAAGTATCACCTATGCTTATCCCATAGAACCTCCTGAAAGATACCACCAAAACAAGGAATAGGAGCATTAATAGAAACCATTATAACGGAAGCAATTTAAAAATAAAGGTTAGACCTCATAAATCAAATCTCAAATGAACCAAGAGATGTGGCTATAGATGTCATCCCTGTAGGCCAAGAATATGAAAAAGACTTCAAAGAAAGATAAGCTAATGAATATTGTCAAACATACACAGGATTTACCTTACTTTGTTCAAATTAGCAAAATCTGAGGTTACAATGAAACAAACTCTATTTTCACTCTATGGGTCCACTAAAAAGCAGTAATTCATGACTTTAAAAAATAATCCCACCAGGTGCAGTGGCCCCCACCTGTAATCCCAGCACCTGGGAAGCTGAGGCAAAAGAATTCAAAGTTCAAGCCCAGCCTGGGCAATTTAGTGCCTTAGTGAGTTCCTATGTCAAAATAAAAAGGAAAAAGGATATATAGCTCACTGGAAAGGCCCTGGGTCTAATCCTCAATACCAAAGGGGTAAAAATTGTTACTGAATCCCAAGAATATAATCAGAAAAAATATAGAAATGTTCACAGGTTAAAGAGCTACAAAAAAGAAACTTAATAAGATCAGTATCCAAAAGGTGGAAAATAGGGCCGGAATTTAGCTCAGTGGTTCTGGTGCCTGCCTCGAAAGCGCAAGGTCACGAGTTTGATCCCCCGCACCAAAAAGAAAAAAAAGAAAAAAAGGAAGAAAAGAGCTAAAACTATAGTGAATCCTCACAAGTCAAAAGAAATGGTGGTTTCCCAAGAATATAAAAGAGATGAAATGCTCAGATGATGATGTATGGTGAGAGGGTTACATAATCATGTGACACTAATATTTTGCAAAATGAACATGTACAAGAATATGTACATAAAGGAGAAAAAAATGTTAAGTCATCTGCACAGATGGTAAGGTTACAGGTTTTTGTGTGTGCCATTTTGTGATTTCAAAATCTACACACTGACTTTTGTAAGAAAACTGCCAAACCTGGTGGCACTCACCTGTAACCCTACCACTCTTGAAGGCTGAGGCAGGACTAGAAATCCAAGCGCAGCCTGGGTGACATAGCAAGACTCTGGCTTAAATTTTAAAATAATGTAAGAAGGGCTAGGGATATAGCTCAGCACAAAGGTCCAAGGTTCAATCCTCAGTACTACCAAGTAATATACCTCCTCAAATATACCTATTAGATGATACAAAAACTGTTCTGCTAAACACACATGCTAACAAAACCTGGATATGAATCTGTGGTTGAACTGTATTTATGACTACATAGGCACATGTTATAACCAATTTCAAAATACTTTCTATTAGAGAAGAGATTAAGCAATCTTTCCTGCACCACCTTCTGTGTGGTGGCACACACCTGTAATCCCAGCACTCAGGAGGCTGAGGCAGGAGGATGTCCATGAGTTCAAGGCCAGCCTGGGCTACACAGTGAGACCCTGTCTCAAAAAATAAAAAATAAATACAGAAGTAAACATTGTTATCCAGAGCTGCCCAGAATTTTTCACTGACTTTCTATACCTGCAGCACCAATGAAAGCCACACACAATTATCTTTGGCCATTCAGATGACAATTTAAAATCTTGCCCTGCACCTGAAGGTAATTTACAACAATTAATGGCATGGCACAAGAGGCATAGTAGTATAATAGCATAACATTTTGTGGGGTGCCTATTATGTGAAAAGCATTATTCTGGGTTCATTTACAAGTCATTTAACCCTGAGTAACTATCACAATTTAACCCCATTCCTACACGTTAGGAAACAGGCCCAGGGTCACACACCCGGTAAGGAGTTAAAAGTCAAAATTGGCACCTAGATACCTGGAAGTCTGGCAACAGAACAAGACTCTTCACCACTGGGGCTATGCAATCATAACTCCGTCTTAGCATTTTTAAGCAGGGGAAGTTACCAGCACTCTGTGGGTGTCCTTGTGAGATCAGAGGGAGGGCTGGGGTGGTACAGTTCAGAGGCCACACCCGCCTCTGCAGCGCTTTAGTCACAGCGCAGTGCTCTATGCTGTGAAGGGCTATATTTTATCAAACTCACATATAAAGCCGACACAACTTTTTAATTTGCCAGATAATCTTTTAATGAGAATTATAAAAGACCAAAAACATTTTTTTGCAAACTGTTTTTAAACAAATGATTTTTGTTTTTAATTACAAATACTGTGTATGATGATGCTTTCTTTTGTAAAACCAATAAACACAAGAACAAATTTTAAACATGTGATTTGTCCAAGATATTTGAAAAAGGAAAAATAAAGAGCCTGGTTTTTAAATATTTAAGTAACTCAGAATTTATTCCCTAACCTTTCAAAGAGTAAGCCTGAAGGTATCATGTGAATGGAAGAGCGTGAGAGAGAATGAGAAAGAGACATCGTCAAGCTGTCTTAAGTAGCTTTTGATAGTTTTTCTGAGGTTTCCTTTCAGGGATCCATATCTTCAAAAAACAGCTTAATTTAAAAACTTTCTAATGAACTGATAATAAGAGAAAAGAATGTACTGAACATATAAAGTTTACCATAAACAATTATGCATATCAAAAGACACTAACTTTAAAAGGTACAAAAAAGTGAGGAAAAACCTGAATTACAGAAAAAAAGGTAATTTAATGAAAACCTAGAATTAATAAAAATTAGCAAATACACTCACACACAAGAGGGGAGAAAAAGAGCAGCACTGTGTGTTGACTCATAAAGGGAGAAGCAGTGGCCCAGGACCACCTGATGGCTTGTCAGTTAAAGAAAAAAAAACACGCGCAGAAAACAAAACAAAATAAAACAAAACAAAAATCAATTATTTGTCAACAATACAATCAATCTACAACAAACACAAAATTCAGAATTATTTTACAATGCTTCCTTTAATACAAAAGATGCCCATCCTGGGTGTGTATATATATATACTTTTTCAGTGGTTTACTGTTGACTTATTTTTAAATATATTAGTGTTACTACATGCAACTGTTTCCTGTATTTAAAGCCTTTCTTTTATTTACCTTCATGTGTCTAGCTTCCACCTACCAAGAGTTTCAGATTGGCAGGCAGATGGGTGCCTTGTTCTCTGTGAAATGCAAGTTTTAAACACTGGTCCAAAAATGTTTGACTGCCATTTCAACACATGGAAATAGTTACATTGATGCCTAAATTGCCATTTTCTGCAAAAAGCTGTGCGATGCTGGTGTCAAAGACTAGGCAGTCACTATTCATAATGGCTGTAGCAATTCCCTCGTGAATAGATCGGGGAGTCGCTTCCCAAGTCAATCGCCGCCTATGACCATTTAGCTCTAGTCGGTAAGCAAAATTTTCAGCTTGCTTGCGTGTTCCTATCAGCTGTACAATTGCGAAGAACTGCTGGTGACCATCGTACTTCTCCTGCTTCTCTAAGACCAACATGAAGTGAAAGCCAAAACAGGACTGCATCATCACCCAGTCAACAGCGCCAGGAAGGTTAATGTCTGTCGCGAGGAAAACGATGTCCTCCCCTTGCAGGGTGGTAATGGACTTATGCTGGTGCATCAAGTGAGGCATGACAGCATCCAGAGAGCCTTGCCACTTACAGGAAGCACCAGGGCATGGGCAGGAGTAAGGCCTGAACTCACACAGCTCCTCGTGGTCTGCTTTTTCTGTGTGTGGTAAAGTTATTTCACATCCAGAAGAGGCATATTTACAAGGGAAAAGTACTGAATTGGCCACTTTCTCCATAGCCAAGTTGCGAATGGATCCCAACGGGCCCCGGCAAGTTGGACAACATGTGAGCTTCGGACGACAGTTGCTACAGACAAGATGGCCACTCTGACACTGAAGAATGGGTGGTAACACATAGTCAAAGCAGACGGGACACTCAAAAAGACTCGCCAAGTCATTGTTGGATGCAGTTGTGCCAGTCAGGGCAGGCACCCTCTGGGATGGTGGACACTTGGAGGTACCAGTAGGTAATGCTGTAGCAGTCTGACGGCTCATTTCTGTAATAAAAAATTTTTTAAATTAAAGATGCAGAAGAAATTACAACTGTAAATATCACAGACAAAAATGTAATTTATACTAAAAATGCATTTTGTAATTAGGTGTTATACATTGGATAAAGACTGCTTTTCAAACTGTCCCAGATCATATTTAAAATTTGCCCCCTTAAAAAAAAGTACTATAAAGCATCTCTGGATAAACTACGTACCAATAAATGCTAAAACAGACTGAACCACAAGTTACAAGACACTGTATCATAAATACAATCAGATCTGTTTCAACTGGACACTGTTCTCCCTGAGTCTCTAACTCTATTTCTTTGCAATTCTCAGTCAGCTGCTGACTGCTTCAGGGAGTTATAGGTCCTATGTAGTTCTGCTAGTGAAGAGTATCTTCTCTAGATATATATTTTGGGAATGGGGTATAGGGAGTCATAGGGAAAGGACCTGCTACCACATTCCATTATCCATCTTTAATCTTCCCCCAAAATATTATCAGCAAGGTATTTATTTTGTTCCCTACTGATCAATGCCCATCTCAAAAGTTAGGGAAGACACGGTATAAATAGCCACCCTTAAAGTTGTTAGATTAATCTAGTGTTTAGAGAAACTACCTTACTCTATTCTATTTCCATTCCATTATATAAATCAGATGATACACAAGGAGACAGGAGTCAGAAAGTACAAAAGAGTAAGGATAAAACCACCACAGATGCACATCAATGCACACAGATGCACACAGATGCATACTGGGGATGGCGGAAGAGTCCACAGGTAAAGAATTCCCTGCACCCCTGGGGTTCCTTAGTGCTGCAGAAACAATCATCAACAGGATGAACAGCATCGCTTATCAGATAAATGATTTTTGGAAGAATCAATCTACCAGGTAACTAGTGAGGATGAATCAAATAGAAATAAAACAAGCAACTTTTCCCCAGGAATCTATCTTTGCTGGGCTATGGCAAGTCACAAAGATCAATAAGGCTGCTGATATCCTAAGAGGGCACTTCCAGAAACAACAGTAAGCCCTGTTTTCAAAAATTACAGCCTCAAGCTTAATGTGTCCTCTCTATTAGAATCATTTTTCTGTTGGAAGGAACTTAATGTTTAAGAAACAAAGAGACAAAAGTAAATACAATCTGGGTTCTAGATTACTCAAGTGGTTACCAATAGAAACTGTAAATGGGAGGGGCTGAGGGTGCAAAAAAATTAATTCCTTTATGACTAAAGGAATATTCTAAAGCTCAAAGGGAAAGAGAAATGTTAAGTTATTTAGCATGTGTGAGGCCGTGGGTTTGATCCCCATGGCCACACACACATCCCTAGAAATGTAACTAAATTCCATCACAACACTGCTTAACAACAGCTTAGAAATTCGGCCCTGTGCAACCCAGGGGGTCCTGACAAAAGGACTATGAAGGAGCTCTCCTGTAATCCCGGTTTCCCTCCAAGTAAATTCTTTGGGTATAGGATTATTCATCCATTTTATGTCATCTGTAAAACAATGGGCTTATTCATGTCAACCTGTTTGTAAACTCTGTGCCTATTTTGTGGCCTATCCTATGCTGCTCACTTAAGTGAGCAACACAGTAAATGGAAAATGGTTTTTCTGGGCACAAAACAGTCTAAGTCCCCAATGCCTTTCAAATTATTAAACCAAATTGCATTCATTATCAAAGGGGAGTAAGCTCAGTTCACATTTAACATAAAATAGAGGATAACACTGTGGTCCAATTTCTTGACCTAGCAAAATAGGCCTAACATTTATCAATAGTTCTTGTTTGTATTGTATCTTTATCTTTACTACTTTCATGTAAAGAGCACATTGTAATTTCTACTGGAAGTGTGAACAACAAATGCAGCACCAGGATATCAACTGCTAAAACCTTCTATAGCTCCAAAGGTGGAACCCAGCTCCGTGCTGAACCAGAAAAGGAATCCCAACCTCAGGCGGGCCTGCAGGAAGAACCAAGCACAGCCCTGCGGAAGTCACAACTTACGCTGAAGTCTGATTTACAAAGAAGTACAGCAGCACAAATGAAACCGCACTGTCAGCCTTGGAAAGTGCTCACTCAGGCTGCAGCCATTCCCCACACCAGGCTCTGGGATTTACTGCTTTCAAATCTCAGTTTCCTGAGCCCAATCTTTCCATGTCAGTACCTTTTCTCTTTCTCCTCCTAGTCGTAGGTAAGCACGTGAACAAGACTCCCCTCCAGGAGTACGGAAAGGGCAGGGCAGGCTTCCCAGGCATGTGAAGTCAGGCTGTGCATGGCGTTCCCCGCAGCAAAGACAATCTGCAACACAGGCCCCTCCTGGCCACCTCCTGTGCTTAAGACGTCCAAATCCGTGTCAGTGTCCGAGGTCAGGGTCCTTTCATCCATTCCCTCCTCACTCACCGCAGGGCTACAGATGCTGAGAAAAGGCAGCCTCGGTCCCCTGCCGGTGACCACACCTCCCTGAGCTCAAATTCGCCTGCTTTTCCAAAAATGGGAGGCATAGCTGAGCTAGCCTAAGTCAGCCTAAAAAGTTTGTCTTCCCCAGCTTCACTGGCCAGGTTCCCGCCAAACTGCCAAATGGGGGTGGCTGGGAGCCCTGCGAGATCTCTAGCCCGCGAGAGCCCTAAGGGAGTGGCCACTGCCCGCTGAGACTCGGCCAGCCCGGCTCCCCGCCGCCGCACCCAGGGCGGGGCCCCCAACTGGCAGGGCGGGGCGCAGGGCGGGGCGGAGCCTGAGAGGTGTGGGCCCAAAGCCCCACCCACCCATGGCCGAACGCTGGGCCCTGGCACTTGTGTAAGTTTAGGTGGAACCAAGGCCCTGTAGGTCAGTTTCTTACTTCGATCTAAATGCTACACTGGGTATATGGAAAATGTGTGGGCAGTCAAGCGCTCCTCCCAACATGGATTACACTGTCCAGTTAATGTGTGAATTCCCACGTTTTTGGAGTAAAAGGATTCCGCCTAATTCATCCTACAGCTGCAGTACCTCCTGGGTTCTCACTTCTCCACTTCTTCCCCTATTGGCAGCATATTTTAAACTCTCCTCCCTCTGCGAACAGAACGCAGTGAGAATAGTAAATACACTCAGGGCACAAAAACTCGTATTTCAACCTCCAAACTGGGACTGTATTCTCTTCCCACTCTGGGAAAGCCATCTTAAATGGCCTCCTTTCGGAGCGGCTTGTTTTGTTTTTAAACAAGCATAACCCTTGCCCCATAAAGTCCTATGGGCCTCAGCTCTAGTTGCATCAGTGGGAGCGTTCAGAGGCTAACCTGTCATTACATCATGGTCAAGGCAGCTTCAAACACAGCAAGGAGTGGCCGTGAGGGAAGGGAAGCCGGCAGGTGCAGATTAATCACTTTCGTGACCAAATTGCACCATCACTTTCCCACCTAATAATGTGCTCGGTCACCTCAACTTCATTTTAATATTAGTCTACACAAAATATCTGTGGAAACAGAAATACAACTAAAAATAGTCTGCCACACAAATGTAACATTATCATCACTTGTATTTTTAAATTCTAGATAGGTCTTGGGTACACAGAGCAGGAGGCTTCAAATACTTCAGGCAGAGAAACTCTTGCAAATGTAACCAAGAACCCAAATGCATAAAACAAGTACAGGAAATGGCTGATTATCCACAAGCCACAGAGAGTTCACTGTCAACGCCCCCAAGAGTATATAAAGTCTTACAGCACAGTCTGAAAACCACAAATCCATGCACTAATCCTTCAACAAATCAAAACAGTAAAAATGGAAGAGTTCTGGAAAAAGAGCCCGGCTCCATCACCTGGTCAGCTGGCTTGTCTGGATTGAGATTAATGATTTAATTCGTGTATGTCACAGGTGGTATATATTCCAAGATAATTTAAGTATTTACCTAAATCCTGAGTTTATTGCCCCATATCATCGACTAGAGACCTAGAACTTCTGGGCTCTGAATACACACTCTCAAAGATGCTTTAAGCTTATAAAGGTGACCCAACATGTCTGCCAGGGATCAATCACCATTTAACTTTAGCACAATAAATCTAAACTCCTAAACTGGGCAAAATATTTATTTACATTGGCTTTACAAAGAGCTGAAAATTTCACAAAAACCGTATTTCACTAAAACAAATCTACAAAATTCAGAATTAGTAAAAACTCAAAATTGAGCAAGAATACTCTATTACCTACCCTATACCTCAAGCCTAGTTTGGTATAAAGTTTAAATAGTTGTTACCTAAATCAACATTTCAGAATCAGCCTTTAATGTTGTCTTAGTCATTTCAGAGCATCCAACTATTGCTTTGTGACATTAACATCTTTACAGTGGAGACAGATAGAAATTAACTTTTATTCTCAATTCTGTGTGGCAACATTTGTTTCCCCTTATAAATACTTACAAAATAAAAGTTTTAAATGGGAAATGTAGTCAGGCATGGAAAAAGAATCACCATTTATTGCAAAGCAAGTTTCAAAAAGGACCTGGGGGAGGGCAAATCAGGAAGACTATACACAGGGCAGGACAGGAAAGGGAAAAGGGAAAAAGGAAAAAGACCAATGAATTAGTTACCTGTGAAAGGATACTGATGATTTTTTAGCTATACTTCCCTTTAAAAGAGACAACTGAAAAATCACTTTATAACCTTGGGGCTGGGGCTTATGGCATGTGCAAGGCCCTGGGTTCAATCTCCAAAAAGAAAAAACTCATCAGCATGATGTGTGAAAACAGTCAAACTTAGAAAAAGATAAAAGTTGCATTCTTCATTTACTAAAAAAGGAAGTAAATATTGCTACCCCTCCTTTATTTCCCCCCAAATAACTTTAGAAATAACGTAACATATCAAAATTAAAGTTATAGGGCTGGTGGTATGCTCAGTAGCAGAACATGTGCCTAACATGTGCAAAGCCCTGAATTTGACTGGGGGAGGGTGTCAATAAAATTGCAAGTATAAGATTACAAATTTGCACTTTGCATTAGTAATCTGAGTTAAATAAAGCTCCATTCAAAACATTT